CCCGCTTCTGCGGGCTCCGAGCCCGGCGGGGCTTTGCCCCTGCGCCGTGTCAGGCGTTCCCGGCTGCGTTACGCCGGGCGCGTGCCCTGCTCCGCAAGTGTTTCTGAACCAGAGGCAGAAATTTGTTGGCTCTTCGCTTTGCTTGCCTGTCGAGGACAGCGTGCTTTGTCATGTTTTATCTCATTTCTGCGCCGTCACCCGTCTCGGCAATCTGTTGCAGCAAAGGAGTTCGGTACCGCCGTGCGCCTCCTGAAAGGGAAAAATACAGATCAGCTTGATGCACTCTGATTTCCATCAACGTTGGGAGATGATTAATGGTGTGGAATGTGCTGCGGAACTGGGTATTGAAAATCTGTAGCTGTGTGAGATGTTTGGGAGGCAAAAAAGGGACGGCTGGGAGCGCTGGCACCCGCGGCAGCCGGGGTTTGCGGGATAAGCTGGCTCGCTGATCATTTCTGTAAACATCCAGCTGTGAAATACTTGAGCGGCGCTAGCACTTCCAATCATCGGGAAGTTTCAGGCTCAGCACCCTGCGGAGGGGAACAGGCAGTTTCCACTCCCGTCTGGGCCGTTGTTTCAGGCTATCTTCGAACTCGGGCAGACAGCCTTCCGAGCACGGAACAAGCCCGAGCGGTGCGGTGCTCGGTGGCCGTCAGCGCGGGAGCTGGGGGGAAGCAGGCAGCAATGAGAGCGATTGCCCTGCTGCTGGGCTCCCCAGCGGAGGGACGGGTTGCGGAGCAAATCCCACCGCTTTGCGATGTTTTAGGACCCCGAATAGCGATGCCGTTGTGTTCCGGTGTGAGCAGTCGGTGCAGGTGTCTGATGCGGTGGCTGGCACGTGGGGTCAGGAGCAGTGAAGTCAGGAATCCCTGCTCTGCCCCGGGATCCATCTGTGCGTCCGAGCGAGTTGTTTGTTGCTCGGTGGCTTGGCTTGGCTGTCTGGGGGGAGATGGACCTCTGGGCTAGTGATGCTGAGGCGTCATTCTGGCGTAGCCCCGTCACTGCGTTTTGTAAGCACGTGATGGAAAAAGTGCTGTGTGCTTGTCAGTGCCGGGGCTGTCTGCCGCATACCTTTCCCCTTCAGCCACCTCCTCTGTGGATTTTCTGAGGTGACACACGAGCGTACCCTTGCGCTACCCCGTTTCCTCTGCTCCCTAACCGCAGGCTCTCTGCAGCGTCGGACCAGGTTGTTTACCAAACCGCTGAGGACTGTCTGATCTGTGTCCAGGCTTCCCCAGAGAGCGCCTCAGAGAGCCGTGTCCTGGCAGCTCTCAAATGTGCCCCGAAGGCTCCTCTATCTCTTCTTTGCTGCTGGATGCTGGTTCCGATCCATAAGGGAAACGGAAAGCTGGCCAGCTGGGCGAGGGCTGCGTGGAGCTCCTCTAGAACAGTAAACAGTGACTCACCCCCTCCTTGTGTCTTCTCTCTCTTCATGTCAAATGCATTGCCTCGCATATGCTTCTACTCTCTGATTCACACCACCAGCCCGTCCCTCCCCGCTCGCGCTACGAATGAGTGACAAGCGTCAGTCTGCCTTACAGGATGTGTGAAGATTGTCAGAGCGGGAGAATGGCTTTCTGAATGATGGGGAGAGGGACGGTGCTCTGCCTGCCATGCGGCGATGTGCTGGGAATCCGTGTCGCGCCTGCGAGCGGCAGAGGCACGGCGAGGAAGATTTAAGCATCTGTAGTTCCCTTCACCTGTCAGCTCCGACATTATCCTGTCCGTTTGGCTGGCACGCTGGAGCTGGGAATAACTTGTGGATAAACGAGAAGTTTGGGTGACTTCACTGAAAGGGCTGCCTGGGGATTCAGTTGCCGCACTCGGGAACGAGTAGGGTATCCCCCGCGTAGCTGTGGGTGTGGAGTGGGGACGCGATGGCAGAGATCCCTGTTGCTGCTTGAACCCCACGCTGCCTTTCTGCCCGGCGGAAGGCGTCGCTGGCCTGGCTGGAGGTGAGGGTTGCTGCGTGACTTTGGTTTGCGGTGCGTGTCTGGGGGTGGAAGCTGAACACCAGCAGGGCTGTCCGCCAGGCACTTGTGCCCTGCCGGGGTTCTCTTTTAGTGCAGAAAGAGTTTTAAAATGCGAGTTCATCTGCAGTTGTTTGGTGTCAGCAATGACTTTATAGTAATTCCTTAATGCGTGATGCGCTTTGAAAGCCCTGTAGCGTGTAAAGTCTGAAATCTCATTCTGGCATGTTTTCGTTCTTAATTGCGAGCCTTGTCTGGAAAGCTCTGTCCTACCTCTGTGCGAGTCAGGCTTTCTGCCGCCTTCCCTTTTCGTAGCAAAGGAACTGGGGATCGCTGGACAGTCCGAGCTGAGACCGTCAGGCTCCGGACGTCAGCTGGAGACCTCCGGCTTTTGGGGAGGATGCTGCACGAGGCATAGGAGTCGTCTGTGAGAGGGAGAGGGCGTTGGCAAGGCTGTCAATGGGTAACTTTATTGCAGAATTACAAGGGCTCTTTGTGTAAGCCACAGTCAAAACACTTGCTTTAAATACAAGCGTGGAGCTGCGCGGGAAAAGCCTTTGCCCCTTACGGTTGGTGTACTACTACTCGCCGCTTTGTTTATGTAGCGTTCAGTGTGTCGTACCGCTTACAGAGTGGAGATGTATTGCGGTCCTTGTTCCAAAAAGCCGAGCTCCTAATTTTAGATGCGATGCAGCAAACGCAATTAAGGAAAGAAGGGCAGGAATAGGGTAAAGACTAAAAGGGTTCTAATAATCAACTCGCAGGCAGGGTCCCAGAAGACCCCCGTACAGCGTTTGTAGGGGATGCTGCTGGACAGGGGACGTTTGCAGGACCGTTTATGATTTTGTTGTGGGGTTTTTGCCTTCCACCTGTGGGAGGTGCCGTGCTGCTTTTAGTTACTTGTTGTTGGTGGCTGAACAGTCCCAAATAGTCCCGATGGGAAGGATTTTGTAGGTGGGGAGGTGCGGACGGAGCCTGAGGCCCCGGAGGACTGCTGGTGAGGGTTGTGAGCAGTATTGTATTGGTTTCGAGGGGAGCCCAGGTCATGTCTGTGGGGTTCGCGTCGTGCAGAGGTACGACTCGCCCCGGCACTCGTGTCGGAGCGTGAGACTTGAGCCTGTCTGAGTGTTTCCGCTTGCGCTACCAAATGTGCGCTTGGGGTCAGGGCAGGCCCCCATCTCGCATCCTTGTTTGAAGAGGGCCTGGCGTCACGATTGCTGAGGATGCCCTCAACCGCCTTGCTCCTCCCTGGGCCAGCAGTGGCTCTGGCACATCACCCCCCTGCAGCAGGACGGATCCCAGCCCGTCCCGGAGGGATGCTGGCCCACCCGGGCTGCTTTGGCGTGCAGGGGCAGGTGGGCCCGCGGCACGAGACCCCGTACCGAGCGTGAAGGCGTCTGTGCCGTCCGCCGAGGAATGCGCAGGGTAAGGAGATGCTGCTTGGGTGACACGGAGCGACAGGTGACCAGAAGGAGTTTCGTCACGTGGAGCCGGAGCATTGCTCGGGGTGGCTGGCGAGCCCACACGCTGACCCCCGCCGGAGGCGACTTCGGCGCTCGTTTTCCACGATACTTTACGTTTCTTTCTGTCTCGGCGCAGCCAGGCCGCCCTGTTCAATTTTTCCATCGGCTGGCGCAGAGCGCGCTTTGAAGACGCGCTGGGCGAGGATCAAAAGGCTTTTTGTGTAATCGGCGGGTGTGACGGGGCCGTCGTCGGCCTCCCCCC